GCATGGAACGAAATATTCTTTAGGATAGATTGTGTGCTGGAACACAAAACAAATTGTCCATAAAGTCATAGCAAGTGACTTTATTGTCCATAAAGTCATAGCAAGTGACTTTATAGACATTTTGGACATTAGAAATGTCTTTATGAACATTTCTAGACACATAGCAAGTAGCTAGAAATTATAGCACATCTTTTTTCAAACTGCAATATTTCAAAAGTAGAGATTAATCATATGAAAATAGCTGGAAAGCCTTAAATATTTGGAAACTACACAGCATAATATTAAACAAGTTTGAATCAAAGAGGAAAAGAAGAAATTGAGAGATGCCTCAAAATAGAACAAAAATGAAGAGGCAAGCTATTTGAACATATGGGGCACAGAAAAAGCATAATCCAGAGGTATTTCATAGCAATGCAGGCATATATAAGGAAATAAGATAAAGGTCAAATGCTATCCTCATTCCTTAAGAAACTGGAAAAGAAAAAATGACCCCAAAGTGAGGAAGTAAATAGTAATAATCAAGTAATTCATACATGGAATCAATAAAACCTAGAACTGATTCTTTGAAAGAATCAGCAAGTTTGATAAACTCTTAGGTTTATAGATTTATGAGAAATAAAAGAAAATCTAATAAATCATAATGAAAGAAATGTTCACAGATAACTGAGAGAAAAAGGTATTTTTTAAAGAAAGGTGACTATGAACAGCTTTATGCCACTAAGCTGGAAAACCTAGAAGAATTAGATATATTTTTAGAATCAACATAAGTGAATCAGTAAAATAAACTGAATATATCAGTTTAGGAGTCTGAAACAGGTATATAATTGAATAGATCAATTACCAGTAAGACAATTGAAAAAGCAATAAGATATCTCATCCCGAACAAAAGCCTAAGTACAGACTGGTTCACTAGTAACATACCAAACCTTCAAAGCAGATATGTTAACTATTAAACTCTTCCAGAGAGCTGAAGAGTCAGGAATTCTAATAGCTTCTCTGAAGTCATTGTTATCCTAATACCAAAAGCTGGTGGATGTTACTAAAATGAAAATTACAGACCAATATAAGCACCAATACAAAGATCTTTAACAAAATCTTGGTAAATTGAATTTACACTATATCAAAACAACAGGCAGTGTGATAAAGTGGGTTCATTCCAGGGATATGAAGATGATTTAATGTACCAAAATCAATTCATTTATAAACCACTTCAACAAAAAAGAATAGTAAAATGATAGGATCCAGCTGGAGAGATTGTACAAGTGTGTAGATACTTGCTTACATCCAGGGACAACTTCCCCAGCCCTAGTATCCACACTAAAAACTGGAACCATGTGGACACCATCGACCCCACACACTTCATGGTTAGGTGGTAAACTAAACAGTCTTAATTCAAAGACCATAAATGCCCTGGTAACCAAATGGGAAGAACTAAATCAACCTCTCCCTGTCACACTCAAATACCATTACATGGTAAAGAAACTAGTCTGAGTAACAGAGATACACGCAATAGCCCAGAACAAATCAGATCAGTACTCAGGTTACCAGTAAGCTAAATGTCCACTGTCCATATCAACAGGATTCTAAAGACAGTGGGAAAGGAACATAGCTGCTCTGGCAGACAGGGACAGAAGTCCAGTCACATCCTAGAATTATTAAAATCCTCTAGCTTTCTCTAGCTTCCAAATCCCCTTCCTTCTGGCTTGGTCCCATTAGCCTCCACACCCAACCTCTGTCCTCTTAAAGGGCCCATCCCAAAGCATTTGCTGCTCCACCCTTCCAGGTTAGATAGTTTTCTCTGACAACACTGGGCTCTATTCAGAATGGGAGGCATATCATCTTCCTTCTAACTAGATTACAGCAGCATTCACACACAACCTCAACCAACCAGTGGCCCATGCCACTGATCGCGAAGCAATGCAGCCATGTATGCAGCCACATAACAGATCTACTCAGCAAATGTATTATTATACTTCCTGTCATTGGGGGAAGACAGGCTGAGATGTTAAAGAGCAACTCTAGCTCAATTCCTCAGACTGTTCCAAAGAGAGTTAAACTACTAAAACTGACTTTCGGCACAGTAGGAATTGTAGAAAATCCAATGAGGAAAACACTTAGAAGCTCACCAGGTTAAACGAGTGAAAACAATAACACAGAAGTCATTAATACCACATTCACCTCTATAAATGCTTTTTTAAAAATGACTTTATTGACACCATAATGAGGATCTTTAATGAGCTCTGATGATGATGAAGAAATAACAGCACTGGTAGTCAGCAAAGTACAAGAAACTATGAGACCTGAAATTTAAAAAATGCAAGCAGATATATCAGAAAAAAAAGGAATATGGTAGGTGATAGTTAAAAAAAAATCATTAGAAGGTCTGAGCAACAAATAATAGCAGCTGAATAAAATACCAAGAAACCCCCAGATGAGATGTAGGAAACCTTTAGAAAGTAACAGAAGATGGAATAAAGTCTGAAAAGAAAGAAACAGCTCACCAGAGAACTAAGGGATGAAATCAAGAGGAACACTATAATAATACTGAGGACTAGGAAAGTGAATTTGATGCAAACCAATAGTTAAAGAAATCATAAGAATCTCCCAGAGTTGAGGAATACAGGCAACAAAATATAAGAAGCCTAAAGATTTCCAAGTGAAAATAGGCTCAGGAAAATGCCGATACATTGTGCTAAGAACCACAAAAACCAAAGACAGAGACATTATATTGAAAGCAAGATAGATCACAAGAGGAATTTACAAAAAGCCTATAAGATTAACAGAAGATCTATCAAACGAGGCTCTATAAGCCAGTAGAGAATGGAAGGATATAATACAAAACTCAGGGAAATGAACATCTCACAAAAATACTGTACCCAGCTAGATTATCATTCATATTTGAAGAAAGTATTGAGAGCTTCAATGACAGACAGCAGTTTAGGGAAGTCAGCCCTGATGATGCCAGATTTACAAGAAGCATTAAAGGCTTATCTTGACAAGATAAGACAAAGTTTTCGACACTTTGCTATAAAAACATCAAACATCCATCCCTTCACCAGTACACATTTTCCACCACCCAAATCCCCAGTATCCCCACACACATACCAGTTCCAACCCTTCCCCTGCCTGTGTGGCAGACAATTTCCCCATACTCTCTCTACTTTGGTTCACAGATCATCCTGTTATTCGTCGATTGCCTCGAGCAGGCCCCAGTAACGTCTCCTTCATCCTAGCCCTGAGATTATATTCAAGGCTCTTTAGGAGAATGAGACCCATCATTGTTACTGGTATTTGGCATATTGGGTACGCCACAGGGAGTTTGCCAGACTCTGCCACTTTGGTTACATTCAATATTTTAACACCAGTCGCACCATGACTCAACACCACTCAAACCTGCCAAAAAGTCAATGCTAGACAATTTGTTTTGTATTGCTTGTTATGGATGGACTATTCCAAAATTTTAATAATTAAGGTCTGGAGAAATCTCTGCAGTGAACTGCTCCGAGGTTCGTGTGTGTGTGAGTGTGTGTGTGTGTGTGTGTGTGTGTGTGTGTGTATGTGTGTGTGTCTGGATCATGGCCGTGTAGGGGCTTAAGTAGCTGGTGGCAGTTTGTGGGCATCATCTCCAAGTCCTATGGGGCGGGTAGGAAGGAGAAGGGCCGGCTCCTCCCCTGTCCCATGAGGCCTGGCGTTTGCTGCCACTGCTACCGCGTGCCTGGGCCTTTTGTTGAGTTCTAGAAGATGGCGACTGCCAGTATTCCTAGGGGGCAGGCAGAGGTGTTGAGTTTTTCACATCCCTCAACTCAACATGCGATATACATAAGAAATGAGAAACAGTAAGCTGTGGCAAAGGCACAAAGTTTATGTAAATGTTAACGAAATGGACAATTTAATTAATACCTTGATAGCCCCTTTAGGTTACTTCTGCTTTGAATCATCCTGCTTTGAGATACAGTCTCTACTGTTAGCGATTTGTTGCTTTTTTCTTTCCTTTTGAGCCACTCCTTCTCACCCTAGTTTATAAAACTTATTTTCTCTTTCTGGGCTATCACTAATTAGTGTGCCATCTCTCCACAATAGGGTATTGGAGGAGGGTGAGCTGGCTGCAAAGCCTGTTACCCCCATTGATCTCCAGGGCTGATTCAGTTGATCTGTCTATGTGGGTGTCACCTTCCTCCTTCACATTCCATGTGTGTCCCTCCCAAAGCTGTGCACTCAGTTGAAGAGGATGGCCTTTTTTATGTTTTCTTCTTACACTTTAAATGTATGCAGTGACATACTGTTTATCAGTAATTTCTCAGTAAAACATGAAAAGATTTTACTTGTTATCTTAAACTGATTATTTTACTGTCAGATTTTAACTGAAACTGCTTTTGTTCTTTAAATATTTTCAGGTCACTAATTTGTAAACATGTCAAGTAGATTGTAATGTTCTCTCTCATGTTTTGCACATATTTAAAATCTGCCTAATATTCTTATAGTAGTAAACTTTAAAATTTATAATTTACTTTATTAGGCATTGTTAAGTGTAAAGTTTAGTGGAATTAAATACCTTCATATTATGTAACCATCACATCTTGGAGCCGTCACCATTTGTCTTTAGAACTTTTTTTCATTGTACAAAACAGAAACTCTGTAACCATTGAACGACCTTTCTTGAACTGAAAACATTCTTCTGTTTAGAGTAACTACTCTAGAACCACCACACAAACTCAAAAATTATTGTTCCATATATATTCAATCCTACTTTGAATGTTCATGACATATTTGGCTGCTCTGCCTTTTCTATGTGAGGACAAAAAGTTTTTCTTGGGGTGGTCTGCAGTTTATTCTCAGTTGGCCCATGCCTGTTTTTCTACTGATATATATTCATGTTTTTTCCCTGATCTATTAGTATTGAATTTATATTTTATTTATTGAATATATAATATTAATAAATATTGAATGTTTATATTAATATTCATTTCTTGTTGTGGATTTTTTTCTATGTGTCCTGACAGAGAAAGAGATGACTTAATGTCTGCATTAGCTTCAGTAAGGAGTAGCTTAACAGATGTGCAACAGAGAGAAGCAAGTGCCTATGAGCAAGTGAAACAAGCTGTGCAGATGACAGAGGACGCCAACTTGGAAAAAACCAAGGCAAGTGCACTAAGATTAGAATAAATGCCATAATTGCTCTTTTTCTCCCCCTTAGTATTTCTCTAGTCATTATTCTTCCGTAACCAAACTCTTCTTTCCCCCATCCATATTCTTTCCATATAGAGCAAATACTAATTACTACACATGTTAGTTCCTATACAGATTTGTTAATGTTGGATTTTCTAAATTAATCAGATTTGATTTTTGGAGAATTCTCACTACTCTATAATCATGTCTGTTTATCACTACTCAGAGACTTCTTAATTATAGTACAGTGTGGTAAAGTAATTTCAGAGACCTTTGTGCTTACTAATCTTTTTATTTTCTGATTTGTTTAATGGTATGAAAATCTTAATATCCACGGTCACTCATTTGTATATGTTTGTTACCAAAGACACTTTTTCTTCGATGTCTTTGTAGACATTTAAATATGCCACAGATGCAAATACATTTGTATTTAGTAGGCTATTTAGCTGAGGGTTGTTTTGTTTGTTTGTTTGTTGGCAGGGGGTTCCATGCCAGATGGAGCTCAGGATTGAATTCTGGTAATGTTCAGGGGACTATATTTTGTGCTGGAGATTTGAGCCTGGATTGGTCACATGCAAGGCAAGCTTGACATTATTTCCTGTACTGTTTCTCTCGCCCAGATGTGATAATGGATCTATTCCAGTGAATTCTTCTTGATAATTTTCCTACCAAATATTACCCACCAAATATTTAATGATAACAATAGTAGCAGTTAATACTTAGTGGTGAGGTAGTTTCCTCACCCCTCTCAATAATAGTTTATTGCTATTCACTGTATTTAGGTACATCACTGTATTTGGGGATCACACCTCAATCTCTTTTTTAGTATTACTCTCAGTAATTGTCTTATTGTTTTTATCCAATTCACAAGGTGGTACAGATGAATTGGATACAGGTAATGGTACAGGTAGAACAGGTGGTGGTACAGATGAATTGGCAGTACAGCAAATTTAAAAAGACAGTTAATGTATTGGGGGAATACATTATGGTTACTACAGTATGTTCACCCTTTTAAAGTGTGAATAATTCTTCCTCTAGAGTTCATTGGAGGGACCCTTTCCCCTCTTTTATATGCTTTATTTTTTTAAAAAAATTTTATTGGTGAATCACCATGGGGTACAGTTACAGACTTACAAACTTTCATGCTTGTGTTTCAGTCATACAATAGTCAGGTACCCATCCTCCCACCAATGCCCATTTTCCATCACCAGTGGTCCCAGCATCCCTCCTACAACTCCCGCCCCATCCCCTCCACCCCACCCTGCCTCTGTGGCAGGTCATTCCCTTTTTTCTCTCTTTCCTTTTGGGTGTGTGGTTTGCAGTAGAGGTATTAAGTGGCCATCAGGTTTGGTCTGTAGTTTAGTAGAAATGACATCTGCACTTATATATGTTCATATCAGCACGGTTTACAGTAGCCAGAATCTGGAAAAAACTGAGTGCCCAAGAACAGATGAATGGTTAAAGAAACTTTGGTACATCTACACAATGGAATACTTTGCAGCAGTTAGAAAAGATGAAGTCATGAAAATTGCTGGATATAGGTGGATCAACATGGAAAGCATCATGTTAAGTGAAATGAGTCAGAAAGAAAGGGACAGACATAGAAAGATTGCACTCATTTGTGGAATATAAAGTGACAGAATGGGACACTAACATCCAAGAACAGTAGAGATAAGTGCCAGGAGGGTTACTCCACAGCTTAGAAGCTGGCCTCGCATGCTGGGGGGAAAGGCAGCTCAGATGGAGAAGGGACTACCAAGTAAAGGGTGCTAGGAGGGCCCCCTCGGGATGGGAGATGCGGATTGAAAGTAGACTACAGATCCTCTTCTATATGCTTTATTATACTACTTTCTCCATGTTTTGCATGTTCAGTGTCTTGTCACCAGAAAATACTGGTTGTTATGTACTAATAAATATAACATCTTGGTCCAGCTCTTTGAATTCCTCAGTTCAAGTGTTTCTCCAGCCCTCAACACCACCACCCACCTAATGTTACCACCATATGAAAGTAGAGCCTTGAAATATCAAACTCTCGAACTCCTCTTTGTAGCGAGAACATTTTCTTTCCTCCCTATCCCAGTAAAATCTATTCAGTATTCTCATTCTTGCCTCTAGTTTTTCAGTGTCTTCATTTTATTCTGTATCTTATTCAGCTCATCTTTCCTTTCCATCTAAATACAAATGTCACAATCCCAAACTGAACTCATAGTCCCATAAAAGAACAGTGTATTCTTTACTCACTGAATGGTTATTTTGTGCACTGGCATGCCTTGACCAAAAATGTGTATGTAGCAGCTATAATTATTTTCCTTCCTTTACCCCACTCCCCACACTGCAACCAGAATTGATCTTTCTAAAAAGTAAGTTTGATCATGTTACAACTCTTCAGTTTAAAGCCTTCAGTAATCTGCAGCCATCTGGACAATCTGTAAACTCCTTCACATGTTGATGCGGTCAGTCATTGTGCTTGCTTCTGTTTATTCTTATACTTCATCTCTCAATAGACTTCACTACCATTCATTTGGAAAGGCTATAGAATTTAGAAGTTGGGTGTGGTCTTACCAGAGTTAGTAGACCTAAATTCAGTTTCAGCTTTAATTTACTATGTGGCCATGGAGAAGTTATTTAATTTTCTGTGCCTCGGATCTTCCTCACCTATAAAATGGAAATAATAAGTAATTGATAGGATTTTATGATTACAGTATTTTAGCTTTTTATTAGTGGGGCCACAGGTATAGTAATACACATAAGGTGCTTGCCTTGCATGTAGCCAACAAAAATTCAATTCCTGCACAATATATGGTTCCCTGATCCCCTCCAGGAATGAACCCTGAGTATACAGGAGTTAGACCTGAGCACAGCTGAGAGTGACAAAAAATAGTAAAAACGTAAAGTTTATTAGTTATCCTGTAGAAACTCTGACAAAATATTTCTTCAATTAATTGTAGTTGTGATAATATTTCCAGGTATTTTGAAATATTCCTTGAGGGAGGCAAAATCCCACCACTGAGAACAGAATTTTCAAGTTATATTATTACTTTTTGTCCTATACACTAATCTTTAAACTCTCATAAGATAGAACATAGTCATTTTGCTTACTATTAAATTCCTAGTTTCTTGATTAGTACTTTCCACATAATTCATACACAGTGTGTAGATTACAAAAGGAACTTCAGATAGTTCTCTTAATCTTTTAATACCTCGGTTGGTTGGAAACATTTTATAAAGTCCTTGTAACTGAATATGGGTAGTTTTAAAATAAATTTGTTTACTGTTTGTTATAAATAAAAAATTGATTTACATCCGTATTTTGAATCCTATTGGATACCTGGGGCCATATAAAAATTTCTCAGGTTAAAAAGAATAACAACAACAAAAAAGCAACAAATTGATAAGCAGCCCTTGCTAGGGACTGGAAATAGTAGGGTGCATTGACATGGGTCCAGTGTCCAGGCACCCGCATGGTCTCCTGAGCCATGCCAGGAGTGATTCCTAAGTGTAGTGACAGGAATAAGCCTGACCTCTGCCATGTGTGTCCTAGCTCCTTCTCTGCCTCCCCAAAGAAAAGCCCACTGGAATTCCTTTATTTTTTTTAATCTCCTTAGTATCTCTGCTGTACCAGTGTTGAATAGAAAGTTAAGCTCAGTCACATTTTTATTTTTATTTTCTTTCTCTGCTATCAGCCTATCAGGAAAAAATCCATTAAAGAAAGGCTCTTGGTTTGGAAAGTAGCTCAGCAAGAGAACTCGCCGTGTATGGGCGAGGAGCTGAATTTGATACTCAGCATTGAAAATAAAAAAATAAACCACCAAGAGGAGATTGTATGAATTTCATAGGAGAATAATGCTGGTTGCCCTCATTGATTTTAATTCATGTTCAGTGGTTCTGTTTACCCATTCCCCAGTTTACAAACCTCCACACTTTATATATAGGATTTCCACTTTGTTCACTTTTTAGCTCCGCTCTCACCACCTCACTCCCAACAGATGTCCCGTTCCATTGATTTCACCATAACGCACCGGTGCTACATCAGAACTTTCTTATCCCTCAAACGTGCCTTCTCATTATTTTTATTGTTTGTCGGACTTATTTCCAAGAGCAATCTCTCCCAAGATCTTAATATATCTTAAAATTTTGACCCTGTGCCATTTGCCACCATATTTTTCTTGTGTCTTGTGTTGTTTGCATTGTCTTCTAATCATTCTTTCTACAACTGTTATTATTGTTAAAAAATAAAAAACAAAACCAACCTTCTCTTGATCAGTTTTCATTTAATTTGCCCTTTATCACTATTTGCTTAGAAGCCCTTTCAAAGTAATGTCTAATCTTATAATTAGTTTCCCAATCCCTTATGTGCACATTGGAATCAGATTTCTAACAATTATAATCTGATGTTGTGCTTAATGGTCACTGGTAGCTTCCTCATTACGAAATCTAATGACTGATCTCAATCTTCATTTAACTCAAACTGCAGCTTTCAGAAACCATTATCAGTCCTTTTACAACATTATTTCTTTCCATTGATTTATCTGATAATTTGTTTTTGTAGGTGAGTCATTTTTACTTTATTTCTGTCTGGTCCTGCCCTTTTAACTCATTAAGTCTCTTTCAGCTACAAGCCTTGTCACTTTTTACTTTTTCACTTACGTTTCTTCTGGGATTCATATTTTAGCTAATGGTCAAACTAATATGCTGAATATCCCTAGGTCATACCTTTCTAATAAATTGGAGCTCATCTTTTCAAATGGGTGATATTTTACTAGCATCTAACACTCTCTACAACTAATTTTCTCCACCTTCCCTACACTAATTTTCTCTTTTTTATTGAATCACCAAGAAAAACAGTTACAAAGCTTTCATGTTTGAGTTTCAGTCATATGATGATGAAACACCCATCCACCAGTGTATATTTTCCACCACCAATGTCCTCAGTATCCCTCTCAAACCCCATCTCACCCCTTCCCCTGCCTCTG